TGCATACACACCCGACCACACCACCCACAGCATACATGCAATTCACCATGCAGAAACACATGCACACAGCCCACACCCACAAACACACCTGTGCACCCACAACGCACACACACTCCCCTCACCACATACATGAACACACACACGTCATGCGTCCAAACAGACCCAACACCCTGCCTGCCTGCCTAATGGTGCTGCGGCTCACCCAGGAGCCCTCCAGCCGTGGCCCCGCAGCTCTGGGATGCAGGAGGTGCCCCACCTACGGCGGTGTGCGTCCTCTGTGGGCTGTGGGCCCCCGCTGCTCCATACTCACGCTGTGTGCAAGTGTGTTCCTGTTCCCTTGGTCCACATGTGGACATGGCAGAACCTCTGGAGTTCCTGAGCTGACCACCAGGGCCTGCCACAGAGGCGTCCACCAGGCTGGGCTGTGGGCTCTGGCCGGAGGTGGGCTGCAGGCAGGTGAGCCTGGGGCTTCTCCCTGCTCTGTGCCTGTGAGGCTTGGCCCATGTGAGCAGAGTCCAATAAAACTACTTGCGCTCCCAAGGAGAAACCCAGCCCAGGCCAGGGCCAGGCGGCCTGAGCCCAGCCTCACCACCTGCCCAGTGGGGGTGCTGTCAGGAGTTCAGGGGAGGCGGGGCTGACGGCAGAGCCGGCGCCTCCCCTGCCTCACTCTTCCCTCTCTGGCCCTGTCAGGCTCCTTGTGGTCACCAGCCTGGTGGCTGTGCTGCTGTGGGAGGCAGGTGCGGGCCCAGCACCCAAGGTATGTGTGAGCCCCTCCCATCCGGCCTCTAACCCCAGCCATATATAAACATATGTGGAAATAACTGAGTAGTAAGATATTCTTAAGGCACTAATTGTTCTGACTATGAACTAATACACGATTGTATATAAAGGATTAAATGACTGAGGGGTAATACTATGAACTAAGATATTCTTCAGGCACTAATTGTGCAGGGAATCTGCTTAGCTCTCCTTCCTCGCTGCCCAGATGGGGGTTACCCACAGTGCTAGGTGGGGGACATGGTGCCCAGTTACGTCCCAGTCCCTTCCTGCCCCAGGCCCAGCCAGAAGTGCAGGCCAGCTGGTCATCTGGGCACAGGCTGGAAGCCTCACTCCCGGCTTGCCATCCCGACACCTGGGAGTGGCTCAGCCCCTAGAGATGCTCCGGGACTGTGCTGAGCTGCCCGGCCCCCACCCCTGCAGCCTCTCCCTCCCTCGGGTCCCCTGTGGACTGTGGCTGAGCCCACTCCTCTGACCATCTCCCCAGGTCCCTGACAAGGCCCAAGTCAAACACTGGCCCTCGGAGCAGGACACAGAGAAGTAAGTCCTCCCAACCCCGCTCCCCTGCCCCCCGCCATTTCCTGAAGCTGCAGCCTGTTCTGCTGGGCCCTTCTGGAACCTGGAGTGGACAGGACGGATGCAGAGGGGAGCCGCATCCAGAAACTTTTGGGAGGAGGTGGCACTCCAGTCCCACAGGGATCTGTCAGCAGAGCCTAGTGCCGGAAGAAAAGAGCTCGGCTGGGGACCTGGGGGTCCCGGGCGTCTCTCGTGGGAGAAGAGAGCTCGGCTGGGGGGCCTGGGGCTGCGGGGCATCTCCCCCAACTCAGCGTCCCCATAGCCCCCAGGACAGCCTGTGCTCCAGGGCCGGTGGCTGCAGCCAGGGTGGCTCAGTCTTGGATCCTGAGGTTTTCCCACATTCTCGACCTTGGGATGCTGCTCAGCCAAGGCTCTGACCACTGCCCCCAACCCAGTGGCCCAAGGACGTGGTATGGAAGCCTGGCCAGGAGCACTGTGGGGGCCACTTGCTGCGGCTCTTGAGAGAGGGGCTTGTCCTGGCTGCTGGTGGTGGGTGCTGGAGCGGCTGCCTTGGGACGGTGGGGACCATCCTAGGAGGGGCTCTGTTCGCCTCCCCCACCTGCATGTGGACCTGACCCAACTGTGCCCGCAGGGCCCAGGACGCCCGTGACGTGGAGCCTCCGGAGAAGGATGACCAGCTGGTGGGGCTGCTCCCCGTCCAGAAGCCAAAGCTCTTGACTGCCGAGGAGAAGCCACCAGGTCAGAGCAGGGCCCCATCCTTCCAGGCAGGCGCAACGCCAGAGCAGCAAAGTCTGCTTGTGGGGTCGACTCAGACACACCAAGGGTCTCGGGAGGGAAACTGAGGCTATGCCTTCATCTGCTTGTCCCTAGGCACCAAGGCCTGGGTGGAGACTCAAGACATCCTGGGCAGTGTCCTGAGCCCCCAGCAGGGTCCTGAGCCTGACTATGATGGCCTGTACCACCCTCCACCTGAGGAGGACCAGGGTGAGGAGGAGCCCCAGTTGTGGGTGATGCCGAATCGCCAGGTGCTCCGGGGACCAGAGAAGGACCAAGACCACATCTACCACCCCGAGTAGGGCTCCAGGGGCCATCACTGCCCATCCCTGTCCCAAGGCCCAGGCTGTTGGGACTGGGACCCTCCCTCCCCTCCCAGCTAGACAAATAAACCCCTGCAGGCTCGGTGCGGCGGCTCATGCCTGTAATCCTAGCAGTTTGGGAGACTGAGGTGGGAGGATCACCTGACATCAGGAGTTTGAGACCAGCCTGGGCAACATGGTGAAACCCCATCTCTACTAAAAATACAAAAATTAGCCAGGCGTGGTGGCAGGCACCTGCAATCCCAGATACTTGGGAGGCTGAAGCAGAAGAATCACTTGAATCCGGGAGGCAGAGGTTGCATTGAGCTGAGATCCTGCAACCATCCTGGGTGACAGAACAAGACTCCGTCTAAAAAAATATAAATAAATAAACCAACCCCTGCAAACAGGCGGGAGGCCACCTCCCTGGAAGGCCAGTGACCAGGCCACCTGCTCTGTCGAGGAGCCCCCAAGGGCTGCACGAGGCCCAACTGACCCTTGGCTCCCAGAACGTTGTGCTCCCCGAAGGCCCTCGTCCTTGTGTACCAGGATAGTGAGGGGTGTGGCAGCAGTTAGGGGTTGGGACCAGAGGGCACCTCTGGCACCAGTCTCAGCTGAGTTCAGGCCGGGGAACAGGGAGGCCGAGTGCATGGACTCGGGGCCCAGCTGGATGGATGTGCATGTGTTCAGCTGGACAAACGCACAGGTGCTCAGGTCTCAGGTGGGCGGCGTAGGCCCAGGCCCAGGACATGTCCTTTCTGCCCTCTCCGAGTTCTGTGCAGCCCCCGCTCTGAACGCCCGTCCCGCCCGCCTGGCCTAGCAGGCCCGATGCCGCAGCGCAGGTCCAGGCTACTGGAGTCACTCCCACCCCGACCTGGTGCCAAGCCCAGGCTGAGCCACACACGTCTTAGCCAGCAGCTAAGACAGAATGGAGCAACGGAGAGAGGCTGCCCGTCTCTGCATCCTGCCATCTCAGCCCTCCTGCGGCCACTCGGGGCCGTGGGTGTAGGCAGGGTGGAAGAGCTCCCTGCACCCCGGCCAGGCCCCCGCTCTCCCAGGACACCAACAGCTGAGGGTGCCCCACGGTGTCCCACCATGCAAGAGCTGCTACCCTGCCTTACGGATGAGCTGGGGAGGCCAGGACCTTTGAGGTTCTGTCCTGAAAGGGCCAGGGCTGGGCTCCCAGGTTTCCCTTGGCAGCCTCCCATGTCACCCAACAGGGCGGGAGGGCATCGAGGATCAACACACCCAGGGCTGTGGTTTGAACGGCTCCTTCCCCACTCCCTGGGCCCCAGGCAGGCAGAAGACCTGGATCTCTGGAGCTGCAGGAGACTCTGGCCCTAGGCAGCCCAAGCTGGTGTTTGGCTTTTTAAAGCTATCTTGATTTTACTTTATTTTGTTTGCTCATATATGGTTTCATGTATATAAAATCCTAGAGTGTGCACACTAGCCCCAGAGGCCTGTCCGTGGGCTGAGCGAGAGTGCATGCAATCAGCTCGCAGCTTCTGACGTCAAACCACAATGCAGCCACGGGGTCTGGAGACCAGCAGTGGCTGGTCAGATAAGTGGGAGGCCCATGGGGCAAGGCTGACCACTAGTGGCTGCGGAGAAGGCCGGCGCTGCCATCTGGGAGCGGCAGCTGGACAGGACCCCAGAGTCTGCAGTCAAGCCCAGACAGGGTCCCTTCCCCAGACCTGGTGCCAGCTCTTTGCCAGGGCAGGCTTGCCTGCACGCCCCCCAGGTTCTCAAGCCCAGACAGGGTTCTTTCCTCAGACTTGGTGCAGATCTCAGCTGCGGTGGGCTTGTCTGCACCCCCAAGGTTCTCATGTGGTCCGGAGTGTGGGTCCGGGACCGTGGGACTCGCCCCCTAGAGCCCTGGGGACACCAGCCCCAGGCCGTGGGGGACCCCCTGTCATTCCCACTCCTGCCCTTGGTCCCTCAAACTCCAGCCCCGGCCCCTTCTTCATTCTATGCCTGTGATGCTGACACGAATTCTGGGGAGCAGGAGGAGGGTCCTGGGAGAGGCCCAGGGTCTGGGCAGTGGTGGTTGTTCGTCCCCATCCTGGAGACCAGTCCAAGCATCCCATGGCAAAGCCTCCTAGGCATCCCCTTTCAGGACCCCCCTGCATCCCACCTCTGCCCAGCAATGGACTCCAAATGACCTCAAGTCCTTTACCTCCCCTGCCTGACTGGACAAGTAAGGGTCCCAGGGAGGAACCTTACTTTACCACCTACTGCCACATGCACAGGGCACAACCCACACCCAGGCCTCTCCAGCAGGCACCTCCCTCACCAGTGCCCCTCCCAGCTCCCACAGTTCCTCCTGAAGCGTCCAGGCCAGCCCTGCTACCTGCCCTCCTGCTGGGCGGAAGGAATGGACCTCATGAAGAGCCCCGTTAGTGCCCAAAACCCTGGTGGCTGAGGCCGAAGTCCCCACCCCACTCAATGCCTCCAGGTCAGCCACTGCCCCTACTCCAGCCCTTGGTGTCCCCAGGGGCCCAGGTCTGATTTCCCTCTTGAGGTTTCGTCAAGGGTACATGGGGGGCCCGCGCTGAACCAGCAGCCTCCCTTGAGCTCAGCACCGAACAAGTCTGAGTGAGAACAGAGCTGGAATTGAAACCTTTAATCTGAACATCATCTGTGACTACATTTTTCCATCATTTTTATAAATTGGGGGACCCTCATCCCAGTTGGCAGGGCACACCCCAAGACTGCCCCTAGGGCCCTGGCCTGGGCCCAGGTCTAGGAGCTGCCGCTGGCAAGCCTGCTGTGAGTGGCGGTCCTGGAGCTCAGGTGCCCCTGGTTCCTCTTCTGGCCCAGTGGTCTTCACCAGGCCTCGAGCAGGGGGCTAAGAGCAAGCACCCCCTTCTTGAGGATGAGGTTTCCATAGAGGGCCGTCTCCCTGCAGAGGAGCCAAGCCCAGCACTGAGCTGGGCTGTAGGGCCAGGGCGCCAAGACCCTCTCCAGCCGCTGGGGGCCAGAGCAGACCCCGTCTACTTTCACCCACCTGATGCTCAGGCAAATGGGGGCCCTGCCCACCCAGCTTCCTCCCTTGTCTCTCCACTCTTTGGGACATCTAGCCTCAGCCAGGCAGAAGCTGAGAAGAGGGCGGGGGCAGCTCCTGGGGGCCCTGGTGGGGACGGGGGCAGGTCTGGGCCAGCCGGAACTCACCCCGTTGCCACAACAGCAAAAGCCTTTTTAGCTCGCTCATAAAACTCAAACCTCTCTATCTTTGCCAGGGCTCTCTGGAAGACAAAATGGCAGGGTTGGAGGGAACCTTGCTCAGAAACCCTCATGGGCCAGCCCTGGACTCCCCAGGGCCCCAAGCTGGGCGGGCACCAGGAGGTGGGGCCCCTGAGCTCCATTTCCCCGGCCCTCCTGCTGCGGGGGCCCCAGGGACACTCAGCCTCTGGCTCCCAAGGCCTAGAATGGGGGCCCCAGGACATGGTGGATGAGGAACCTGCCATGCTTGGTGTCTGCCTGGCCTGGGGCCACCCAGCCAGCTCAGCAGACTGTGGAGACCCTGCCAGCTGTCCTGGGGTGTCCCCTGCCCAGGACAAGAGCCCCTGGCCTCCTCTTATGGAGGTCCTGCCTGAGGCCTGCCAGTGGGTTGCCCAGGAGAGTGGGCCTGTCCCCTTGCAGGGCAGGGTGGGAGGGGGCTGTGTGACACAGCACCCAGCTAGGCCTCTGACCATAGCCAGGATGGGGCAGGAGACCTGGGACGGGGGCACCCCCCAGGGGAGATTGAGGAGGGGGAGGCCAGGCATTCTGAGTCCCTGGGCTCCACTCACAGGCTGTGGTGGGTGAGGCCCCCCCAGCAGGTCAGGATCCTGGCGTGGGCAGAGGAGGAAGGACCAGGTGCACCTCTTCCACCCTGGCTGGTGAGGGAGTGCCCAGTGGCCTGGGGTTCTTAGGGTGGTGGGTGGGAGGCTGCTTGAGGACACAGCGTAGGGCTCTGCTTTTGGCCCTCCTGAGCCTCGGGGAGACTGTCTCTGGCCGGTTCCCCACAGCTGGGGCTGCAGACTCACCGAGCAGCCAGCCCTGAGTAGGATGGACTCGTATTCTGTCCACACCGGGGTCTGCAGGCCTCTCTCCTTGTCGCTGGGCACCAGCTCCATGACTGCAGCCTAGAAGGAGGGGTCAGCTCTGGGGCCTTGGGGGTTGCCAGTCTTCCTGGTCAGGTGACCAGTCGGGACTCCCCTGGTGAGGGTCAGGACCCCCTTGGGGACACATGGCTTCCCACTCCTCCAAGGTGGGTGGACCCTATGAAGCCTGACAAAGGGGAAACCGAGGCACAGAGCGGCAGGGTGCAGGGGTGACTCAGCCCTCACCGGACTCTCCACATAGGTGTCCAGGGGCAGCAGCTTCAGCACGGCCTCCAGAAGCTGCGGGATGCCCAGGCCTGGAGGGCAGAGGGTGTGGCACTGAGTCTCCAGCCTGCTCGCCCACCTGTGGGCACCCTTCACACCTGGGCTTCGCTGGCTAGCCAGCCGGCAAGCATGGACGTGGGGCCAAGACAGGCCACAGAGGAGCTCAGAGCCGGGAGCACGGCCCACCCGCCCTGCCCTGGGGGACCTGGGGCTCGCTCACCGTCTGCACGGATCTCCATGGGCCCACACTGGCAGACGGAGGAGGCCGGGAAGTTCAAATCCGCGAGAACTAAACAGCCGGGAGGACAGCCCGCGGTCAGCACCTATGCCCCGCTCGGGGTCGGCGCCACCCATCCTCCCACCCAGTCATGGCGGCAGATCGTGGATCACGAGGGGACCGGCCGCCGTCAGAGTCCTCAGGGCTGGAGGCCAGGCGGGGAGGCGGGAGGACAAGGTCCGCGTCCGGGAGGCGGAAAGGCGTCAACAGCGGACGCCCCAGGGGCCACGGGACGCGCGGCTGCCGCCATGCCCGGACCAGGCCCCCGGCCACACAGCCCCTGCCGGGGACCCCAGGCCCCAGGAGGAGAAAACGCCCGAGCCCTCGGGGGAGCCCAGGCGCCGAGGCTCTCGGGCCGTCCGGGGAGGGACTGGGGGGAAGCTCCGGCCGCCCCGCCCCGAGCCCCACGAGGTCGCAGTTCCCGGAGAATGCGCGGCAGGGGGCTTCCTGCCCGGAAGCGGGGTGCGGGGGAGGCCCGAGCAACGCCCGCACCCCGGGACCCCGCCCTTCCCGGGCGCGGGGCGCGGCCGCAACAGTCCGCACAAGGGTGACCAGGACCCCGGCCCGGGGGTCCCCGCGGAGCCTCGCCTGCCTGCCTGCCCCGGGGTGGTCCCCGAGGCCCCGGCCCGCTGCGCTCACCGATCTCGTCCCCGTGCCCCATCCGCGCCAGCGCGTAGAGCAGCTCGGGGGACAGCAGCGCGGGGACTCCCTTCAGCGCCACCATGGCCCGGCCGACGGGGAGGGCGGGGCCTACGGCCGGGAGGGGCTTTATCGGGGGCGGGGCCTAGGAGGGACTTTATGGGAGGGCGGGGCCTAGGGCGGGGAGGGGCTTTACGGGGGAGGGCGGGGCTTTGCGGGGAGGGCGGGGCTTTGCGGGGAGGGCGGGGCTTAGGGGTCAGGGAGCTTTATGGGGAGGTCGGGCTTTGGGGTCACAGGCTTGGGGCCCTGGGACCGGGCCTAGGGGTTGGCGGGCTGGGGTCAGCTTGCAGCTCGCAGAGAGCCCCGAGAACCTGGGGACGCGTGGGCTGAGTCGGACTGTGGGGGCAACACCCACCCAGCTCACGAGCGCCTCACCAGGTCCGAGCCTCTGGCACCCGCGCGTTGTGGCCGGGGGCTCCTCAGTGTCCCTGCCCGAGCCTTCCACCTCGAGCTCCCTCAGGCCGAAGGGGTTCAGCCGCTGCCCCCTGCGACCTCCTCTCATGAGGGTCTCTGCCCTCCGACCGCATTGTTCTGCCCTTAGGCCTGGCAGAATACCCGGAGCCCACTGGGTCCCTAGTGTTACAAGGGTGGGCAGCTGCACCTGGGCTTTCAGCCCACACTCCTGAGGGGCCGCGAGTATGGGATGCGGGAGCGTGGGACATCGGACCCCCTGGAGAAGGTTCAGGAGGGCAGCTAGGCCCAACTCCCAGGCTCAGCCCCGAGAGCCAAGACACCTAAGAGTCCTCCATCATCCCCCAGTGTCAGCAGCCTGCAGCCCCCTGACCAGGATGGCAGCGTCCTGACCTTTGGCCAGGCTCAGGCTGGCCAGGCCCTCCCTCCATGGAGCCACCTTCTTTCACCTGATTCCCAGCGGGACACCAGCTGTGGGCCAGCACTGTGGCCCTGGCCCTCAACCCTGGGATGACACAATGCTCCGAGGCCTGGCAGTTCCTAAAAAGTTCTGAAAATAAGTTTGTGAAAAATGACAAAGCCGTCTCAGAAAACCCAGAGGAAACAGTCTCCATGTTGAACTGCTTGGCTCTAGGAGCCTGCCCCCATGGAAGTGACTTGGGCTGTGTCGGAAAAGCCTAGTGGGGCCACCCAGGCTGGCATCCAGCAGCACCTGAACAGCTGGCCCTGGGCTGGCCACTTGGGCAGAGAGAAGGCCAGGGCTGCCCAGAGCCTGCCAATGAGGGGCGGCTCTGCACCCAGGCCACCGGGGTCCCTGTGAAGAGACAGGAAGAAGGAGAAGCGTGGAGGTCCCCGGGTAGACAGGAAGGAGAAGCGTGGAGGTCCCCGGGTAGACAGGGGAAGAAGGAGAAGCGTGGAGGAGGTTCCCACGTAGAGACGGGAGGAAGGAGAGGCGTGGAGGAGGTCCCCGCAGTAGAGACGGGAGGAAGGAGAGGCGTGGAGGAGGTCCCCGCAGTAGAGACGGGAGGAAGGAGAGGCGTGGAGGAGGTCCCCGCAGTAGAGACGGGAGGAAGGAGAGGCGTGGAGGAGGTCCCCGCGTAGAGACAGGAAGAAGGAGAGGCGTGGAGGAGGTCCCTGCGTAGACAGGAAGGAGAAGCGTGGGTGCCAGGAGCTGGAGGGAAGCAGAAAAGGGGTTTGGGAAAATGAAAAAGTTCTTGGACAGACGATAATGGCTGCACAATGAGAATGTACTTAATGCTGCTGAAATGTGCACTTAAAATGGTTAAGACCAGCCTTGGCAACACAGGGAGACCCCATCTAAAAAAGTTAGCTGGGTGTGGTAGTGTATGGGTGTGGTCCCAGCTGCTTGGGAGCGGGAGGATCACTTGAGACCAGGAGCCTGAGTTTGCAGTAAGCTGTGATCAAGCCACAGTGCTCCAGCCCCGTCTCTAAAAGACATGGTTTAAGATGGTCAAGTTTTGTAGCATGTGTTATCACAATACAGAAGAATGCACTGAAACTGAACAGAGAGCTCCTTATGACAGAAAAACAAAACAGGGTTTCCTTCGTGCAGAAAAGGGCTCTGTGGAAGAGGGCGTGGGGTACCACTTCTGTAACAAGAAAGCCACCATACGTGCCTGTGCACGCGTGCAGGAGTGTGCGTGCGTGCACAGAAGTCTCCAGGAAGCCACACACCCAGCTATTCATGGTGGCTACCCTGGAAGTGTGACGTGGGGTGACTGACTGTGCAAACTTCTGCTTTGTTTGAAAGTTGTTGCTCACAAAACAAGTCTAAAAGAACAACATGACAGAATACTCCACTTCTAGACATGATACAGGGCGTGGTGTAACTGAATCACTGTCACTTTAACGTGCAGAGCGTCTGTGTGAAGGCAGCAGACAGTGTTTCCCTGGGAGCAACCCCGTTCTCTAACACAGGGACACAAGCACCCGCAGGGCTGCTTTCTGCCTGAACACAGCGTACCCAGAGGGGCTGGCGGGGGGCTCCTCAGCAGAATCTTAGATTTAGAAGAAGATGCTCCCGTCAGATACAAACATGGACCCTCACAGGCTGGGTGAAGGAGACCTTCGTGCTGTGAGGGCCGGGCCGTGACCACACAGCAGCTGAAGAAAAACTGCACGCCAGGGACACTGCCCTTGAAAAGAGGGTGATTTACTTGCTTCTAAAACTGACAGCCTATGCTTTTCCTCTCCAGGTGGAGGTGTAGGGCAGGGGCAGCTGCTTCTCACTGGTCTCTGAAGTTGGCCTTTCTCTTTTCCACAAACGCAGCCATCCCTTCTTTCTGGTCATCCTGGTAGGAAAAAGGAGAGAAACAGGTGGATGCCCGGTTTCCTCACAGAGCCCAATGCCAATGCCGCCCGGGTATCCCTGGCCCTGCCTCACTCCTCATGCTCACAGGGGCCCAGGGGGCCGCAGAGGGGACTCTGTGGCAGGAACACCTGCCCAATCAGGTCTGGGCCAGGGCACGGGGACTTCTACTGCCTCTCTGCCAGGCTGGGTGATGGTCATTCAGGAGCCACCGTGTATGTCAAATCAGCTCACATCTAAAGAGCCTCAGATGCATGCCTGGCCATTCACCAAGTCATCAAATGGACAACGGGCTACCGTGTGTCACGGAGCAGGACATGAGAACTCAACTCTGCATCTGTCTTTTCCCATGCTGGGTACATGTGTGCACGTGTCCCCAGGTGCGCACGCGCGCGCACACACACACACCCACACCCCTGCACCCCTTCCTCAAGTGCCCACGCTACTTTTAATTTTTATTTTACGGAACAATTAAAACACCTAAGTATGACTTTCTTACAGTGAAAAAGATGAAGTAAAATGGTAATCTCGCTGGGCACAGTGGCTCATGCCTATAATCCCAGCACTTTGGGAGGCCGAGGCAGGCAGATCACTTGAGGTCAGGAGTTTGAAACCAGCCTGGCCAACATGGTGAAACCCCATCTCTACGGGCCAGGTGGCGGGCACCTGTAGTCCCAGCTACTCAGGAGGCTGAAGCAGGGGTCACTTGAACCCAGGAGGCGGAGGTTGCAGTAAGCTAAGATCACATCACTGCACTCCAGCCTGGGCAACAGAGCAAGACTCTGTCTCAAAAAAAAAAAAAAATTATAATGGTAATTAGAGGGAATTAGAGGAATTACTTTAAATTACTGGCAGAAATCTTATAAAATATTGCCCTAAAACTTCAGCTTATCTTATTAGAATAAATTTGAACCCATTCCAAATAATTGGGATGATCTAAAAAAATTACGGGTAAAATGAATTACATTTTTTACAAAAGTCATTTTTTTGAGACCGGGTCTTGCTCTGTTGCCCAGTTGGACCCGAACGACCCGCCTCAGCCTCCCAGGAAGCTGGGACTACGGCTGCTCGTTACCCACCCTGCTGCAGCTGCTGCCGGAGGGTGCGACTCACAGACCTTCACGGCAGGAAAAAGCCCCACGGTGTCCACACTTTCGAAATTCCACACTCTACTTTTTTGTTAACATTAAGACCCGCTGATAGAACGTATCTGATCCCACCAAAGGTAAGGCTGACAGTTCTGACAGAAAGAAACGATACTTCATGATAAAACGTAGAAGGAAATTCCTAGCAACTCATGTGACTGGATATGCTTGATTCTCCGGTTGAACACTGTTTACTCACAGTTGCAAAGGTTGAATAAAAGAGGGTCTTCTCCAACTTCCTTCCTTCTGTTAACGTCATTTCAAAAGCTGGAAAATAAAAGTCCTGGAGTTATGAACCAAGGTATTAAATGCAGAACTTTTCCTGCATGGTGACAGGAAGCCCTCCGCACTGACCCATGCACACGTGTGCTTTCAATGTGGCCTGGGAAGCCTGGCCCCTCTCACAGGCCCTGCCCCAGCTGAGACCAGGCAGAAGCAACAGCTCTCCTATGGCCCGCAAACGTCACACCAGGTGGCCCCGGGCCCCAGGAAGGGAGAGGAACTGGATCAAAGGTAGGATGGCAAACTGTGCCCATGAGGAGAGGCTCTGAAGCAGCAACGGGACTGTGCCCATGAGGAGAGGCTCTGAAGCAGCAACGGGACTGTGCCCATGAGGAGAGGCTCTGAAGCAGCAACGGGACTGTGCCCATGAGGAGAGGCTCTGAAGCAGCAACGGGACTGCAAGCAGAGAAGGCAACTGAGGACAAAGCCAGAAAGGACAGCACGGGGGCCAGAGCCGCGCGGAGCCGGCACCAAGGACGCCTGTGGCTCGGCTCATTCCAGGCCCCTTCTCTGCATGAGGCCCGAGTGCACAGGTGGAGGCCGTTGCCGCAGTGCCAGGCCTGGAGCCAGCGTCCTCTCCCAGCAGAGCACGACCTTGCCAAACGCCTTGGGCAACAGCAGCCTCTGTTTCTGAAATGCTCCCCTCACTGTATCCTGCCTCAAGCCAACAGCAAGCCCAGGGATGGCCACACTCGGGGAGGCTGGGAACCTGCCTGGGGCCACCCACATCTGAACAGACTCAAGCAGCTAACAACCATCTCATTCCACATGCTGAGAATAAACGGTGACATTAAAACTTGAGCATTTCTGAGGAGGGTGAAGGTCAGATCCACTTCCCTGGCAGAGGGAGAACTAAAGGAATCCAGGCCAAAAATGAACAGCATGGCATCAGCCCGCCTGCGTAGCCACCTGCCAGGTGCAGACACAGCCTTCAGCCCCATGTCCCGGCAGGTGAACCGAGCCTCCCTGTGAGCAAGACCATTTTACTTTTGGGACCTCTGCTCCCTTCTCAGCCTTTCCCTGCCATGACCTGTGCTGCCCTCGCCTCCCAGGCCTGGCTCCGTTCTTGGGCCCTGGTACAAAGGGGAGTTGGGAACATAGTGGAGTTCCTGAGTGCACGGCCAGAAACCACAATTCTACAGACAGCAGAACTGAGACACTGAGAACCCCAACATTTCTACCCAGGAGGGCTTCAGGCACACTCATTTGCAGCCAGAAAACGTGTCCCTCAGGAACATTCCTGACAGCCACAGAGACCCCTCTAATTTCTCTTCCTGGCAGGATCCCCTACCTGCATTCACTGATTCTTTGGCCATTGCTACTATAATTTTAGAATTGCTGGCAATTCTTTCTGCACACTGGATGGCTTCTTCCACCAGTGTCTCAACAGGGAAAATCTTGCTTACAAGACCTGAAACACAAGAAAGTCAGTGAGTGATGTGCAGAAACAGTACGTGTCTATTCCTTTGCGAGCAAGTGGCCGCTGGGGAGCAGCGTGCTAGAGCACCCCGGCCTCCTGGCGCTGGGCAAGGGCGGCTTCCACACGGGAGCACCCCGGCCTCTGAGGGCTGGGCGAGGGGGGCTTCCACACGGGAAATGCCGCATGCGCCCTGAGGGGGCTGAGTCCTCCTGGTACTGTGGCCTCTGTGCTCTGAGACATTCAGGCCAGGCTGTCCACAGCTCCAACGGTAGAGGCAGCCAGACACAGGGACCGTGGTCACCAACAGGGCAGTGGGAGGACTACCTAGTGAGGGCCCAGGGATGCCCTCTGGGGACAGAACTGCTGGGCTGTTACTGTGTACCAGGTGCTTACGTGTGGTTCCACTGCTGTACATACAGTTCTTCAAAACAAAAGGCAGGCAGTCTCCCAAGTCCTCAGGACCCAAAAGCTCATGCAACCTCCCTGGGGACACCTGGATGCAGCCCTGAGTCCCCGTGTAGCTCCCATGGGCAGCGCCAACCTGCACCTGCTTGCTTGGCATCCTGGGCTGAGATCCGGTCACCGGTGAGGACCATCTCCATCGCCAGTGACTTCCCGACAGCACGGGTGAGTCTCTGGGTGCCACCTGCACCTGCGGGGAGGGGCTGGTCACGGCTGGCACTGCAGCGACTGAATCTAAGAAGACATCACCGCTGCACAGCTGGCAAGTTCCAAGGGGCTTAAGATGGGCCCTGAGGCAAGGCCCACGGGGCAGAGGCTGGGCAGCACAGGACCCCAGGAACTTCAGGCACAGCCCCTTTTCAAGCTTAGGCCCCACATCTGGGGCTCGCCCAACACCCTGACATTGGAGCAAGGTCTGTGGCTCTGTGGTCAACATCTTGGAAGCTTATAGGCCTCGCTGACTCCAGGCACCGGTCCCTTGCATCAGCAGCTGCTCAAGGGATCAGACCCTGAAGAAATGGGTCAAGCTCATAGCTCAAGGCCTCAGAATCTGCCTGGTCAAACTCAGAGGGCAGGAGAGAGCGCCCTGCATGCAGCTGTTCCCCTCAGGGTCTGAGCTCCTTCCTGGCTGCTTTGCCTGTGCCCGCCCCTCCTACCAGGAGGACCCCGGGGGTAGAGGGTGTTTCTCTTTGCCCAGAGCCCAGGCTCTTCCCCCGGGTATGGTGAGGGGTCTGACTCCCTGCTCTGCTGAACTCGGTGAGGCCACATGACCTCTGTGGCCAATGAGATGGCAGTGGGCAGGACCTGAGGCATAGTGGGCAGAGCTCCCAGTGCCACCCAGGGTCACCATGTTCTCTCTCTGCCACAGACATGGATCACAAGCAAGAACTGCCATGGTTAGAAGCCAGTGTCACCCAGGACCAGCCTCTCCCAACACCATCATGTGTGGGACCTGGGGATGGCCACAGGAGCCAGACACGGTCCCGGGCCTCTGAAGCCCCCATCTGAGCTCTGTCACAACCACTTTAGCCTCTGTGGCTGTCTGCAGAGGGACCACTGACCAGACATGGGGGTCTCCATCCAGGGCCTCTGGTCAGATACGAGCCGTGGGCCCTGAGACACAGGCAGGTATTACCTAAAGCATCTATGCCAGAGACAGTGTCACACCTTACCTGGGATGGTCCCTAGTAAGATCTCCGGCTGTCCAAACTGGGCCTTCTCGCCGGCATAGATGATGTCACACATCATGGCAAGCTCACAGCCCCCGCCAAGCTGCAAAACAACTGGCGTCAGGAGGCTCTTGCGAGGGGAACCTGGTCAGAAAATCACTCACTTCTCATTCAAATTTTCCATTTAAAAGAAACAGCGTCAGGGGTTGACAGAGAATAACATAGTGGCAGCAAACCAGTTAACTGTTATGAAAAGTTAACGACAGATGGTTGATGCTGTTTACCGGAAACTGGCAAACATTCTAAAGGGCCAGATTAATACTTTCGGCTACGAAGGTCTTACAGGCTCTGCTGTGACGACTCGACTCTGATGCTGTGGCCCAAATGCAGCCACAGAGACGAGGTGCACAGGCGGGTGTGGCTGTGCTGAGAACACTCCGTCTGCGGAGGCCTGGCTTACTAAGAAGGGAGCATCACAAAACGATCACAAGGGGAAATAATCACACTGCTTCTCGACAGGCCCAGACCAGCCTCAGCACTTCAAACAGTCCCAACACATACGACGCAGAGCTTTTAAGGGGACCAAAAGAAGCCAGTTTATAGATATAGCTTAGGTTGAGGGGCAGAGACCAGCATTTAAACGATACTGAAAAGCCAAAACAAACACCGCTCTTCCGCTGCCCTGGAAGAGAGGCTTGCTGGGGAGAAGCTGCCAGGTGAACAGCCATAAAAAAACGGACGCTAGGACATGTCCTCTCCGCATGGTCCCTGGCTCTTCAGCACCACGAGGCAGGAAAGGAGGCAGCTGGCCTGGGAACTGAGGCCTCTCCAAGCAAACATCTGTCATGGGGTGTGCGCAGAAGGGCTCCTTCAGCCGCGAGAGGAGGAGGCGCTCGGCAGCACCACTCACAGCATAGCCATTGACAGCAGCGATGACTGGCTTCTTGACCTGAGTGAGGTAGTCCCATTGGTTCAAGAACGTTTGGAAGTAACAGTGCTGGAAACTCAGGTTCTGCATTTCCTTGATATCAGCTCCAGCTGGGAGTAGAAAGGGGGTTCCAGTTACCAGAGAGCAGACAGCCCACCTGCCCTGTATCCCCCAGACCAACAAGGAGCTTCGGAGCACACCAGCCATGGGCACTGTGGCTGCTGGGCACGGCTGACACCAGGCCATGTGGACAGCTGTCAGGATGCTGTGGTGCCAGCCATAACTGAGGTCATGCAGAAGGGCCCTGGGGCAGGTGGCAGGTGCGAGGGAGGCGCCCACAGACGCTGGGCGTATTCGTCATCACATAAGCCCTCGACATACACAAAGCCCGACTGCCAAGGCCCTGAACCCCTGTAAAGAGGCGATTTTGCTGCACGTGAGCACTTTTGGTGCATACAAAGCTGCTGGTGCAAGCAGTTCCCATGCCCATCTCCACTTTACGTTTGAATAAATCCCCAACCGTGTGCCTTTCCCTAACAGAGGTGCAAGTCAGGCCACACGTGCCTCCCACATCAGCCCAGGTACAAAGGCCCCCACTGCTGTGCACACCTGCAAAGGCCTTATCCCCACCGGTGAGGACAATGGCCCCCACGGCCGGGTCTTCCTGGAAGGTCTTTAGTGCCTGATTGAGCTCCTCAATCAGCCCATTGCAAAGTGCATTGAGGGCCTTGGGGCGGTTCAGCTGGATCAACCCCACGGTGTTATTCTTCCCCCTTTTTTCTGCGATGATGTACTCAAAGTTAGGACCTAGGGCAAGAAGGCAAAAGGGGTATCTATTCACACAGGCATCAAACTGAGAAGAGGGGGGCTGGTCTTGGCCTATGGGGAAGCAGTGTAATCATTTCACATTGTGATTATTCCGTGATGCTCCCTTCTGGAAGGGATGTGGCCCCATCAGCGGATAGAGTGTGACCCCAAGAGGCCCTCTGAGGGCTCCCTGAGCAGTGCTCAGTGGCTCCAGGTGTAACTGTCAGCCACATGGATATATGGTGGCCTCAGTACCATTCTCTCTGCTTTCACCTGTGTTTGAGCATGTCCTGAAGAAAAATTCCCAGCACAGAACATAGCCCACAGCCTCGCTCCTTCTCCCAAGAGGCCGTGGTCAGCTGTTCCCAGGACACTGCACTGGAGGCGGCCCTGGACTCTGCTGAGACAAGGCACCAGGAAGCGCCTTCCTTCGACAAATGCCAACAGGCGAGGAGCATAAGCCTCAAACAGGACAGAGCGCCAGCTCCTTGCACTTCGTACTGCCCTGGTGCCAAGACCTCTGGTCAACTGGGTGCAGGGTGGGGGCTGTGAAAATCCCGGGTGTTCCCGTGGCTCTAAGATCAGGCGCGGGTCCTGTGCAGCAGGCCAGCCTGAAAATGGGAGACACAGGCACATCTTGGGTTGGCCCGCTGTACAGGAGCTGCACCTGCTGGGCGGACAGCAAGGTGGGGTGGAGACAAAGGACAATGGCGTCCCAGGGGTGAGAAGGTGAACCCGAAAAGACAAAAGTCCTGTGTGTTGGGTGCTTGCCTCCACTAGTGGCAAAACAGGGATCACAGTGCCGATCCCGTGGGTTGTTTTTGTTTGTTTGTTTGAGACCAAGTCTTGCTCTATTGCCCAGGCTGGAGTGCAGTGGTGCAATCTCAGCTCACTGCAACCTCCGCCTCCAGGGTCCAGGTGATTCTCCTGCCTCAGCCTCTTGAGTAGCTGGAATCACAGTCACGCACCACCACGCCTGGCTAATTTTTGTATTTTTAGTAGACATGGGGTTTCACCACTGGCCAAGGTGGTCTCGAATTCCTGACCTCAGGTGATCCACCTGCCTCAGCCTCACAAAGTGCTGGGATTACCAGCTTGAGGCACCGTGCCCCACCTTATCCTGTGGGTTTCTAGGGGTGGCTAGATCACAGGTGAAGTGTCTGGCAGCAGTGCCTGCCATGTAAGACCCAGGAAAGGGCTGCTGATCACAGGTCAGGGTGCAGAAGTGGATGGCCATGGACAGCTTGGGGATGAAACCAACACAGCTTAGCCGTCCACTGGATTCATGGGGTGAGGGGGGAAGAGGAAGCAAGGGTCATTCCCCAGCCCGAGGCATGGGCAAAGATTCCTCCAGATGCTAGAGCAGGTGATGGCCGCGTTTGAGTGGGGCCCTGGGTGAGCTACAAGGGAGGAGGAGAGCAGCGCCCTGTGGCTGGGAGGAGGTGTCAGCCTTTCCCTTAGGATTCTCTGAGGGGTGGCCCTGGTCACGAGGCACCCAAGACGAAATGTACCTGCGCTCATGTTCTCAGGCTGGCCTATGACACAGGACCTAGGCCTCCTCTTAGAAGCAAGGAAGACTCCCGATTTTCACAATCCCAACCTGTGGCTATTTGGCAAGAGATCTTGGCACTTAGGCAGTACCAGCCAGCGCCCTCCCCCAGGACACAGCTTGGTGAGACGGACCTCCTGCAGAGCCATACTGGTTTAGGGGTGCGGGCCACCACGGTCAAGTGGGTGATGTCAGTGGGGTGGGGGCGGGTGTTCCCCCAGGGTCATGCTGTGGGAGCCAGTCAGGTTGGGGGGGGGCGCAGCCCTAGGCGAGGCAGTGTTGTGGGCCCCGGGCCAGGCAGAGGCTGCGGGTCGGGGTCAGGTGGT